ATATATATATATATATATATATATACACACACGTGTGTAAATATGATGTAATTCAAATTTTAAGAAAAAAAATATATATAAACTGTTGGCACCATCCTCTCTTTCTCTTGTGCTTGAGTAAGAAGACTCGTATGAATTAAAGAACAAAATAAAAATTAAATAATATTAACTGACAGTAATGCAATTATTTTATAGATATAATAATACAGACCTCCTGTTATCTGTTTCCAGCGGTTCTTCTCCAGTGAAGTCTAACGGTTCAACATCCTGTAGTAACTCGGCTTTGTCACTTCGATCTCTACGGGACTGAGCTGCACACACACAAGTCAAGTCACATTCATTTATATAGCGCTTTATACAATACAGATGGTTTCAAAGCAGATTCACGTTAATAAACAGGAAAACAACAGTGTTAATAACGTAAAATTAATCAATTATGAAAGTAATATCAGCTCTGAGATAAGTCAATCATGAAACCACTTCAATTCATCTATAAATAGCTCTACTGAAGACAATAGTGCCTTTATTCAGCTCAAGTCAGTTCAATGTTGATTCAATTCGGTTTCTAACAGTGTCAATGTTGTTAGTGTCAGCTCAATTCTGTTAAAATTGTGCTCTCATCCATCAGTGTCAGTGCAGTTAAATCAATAGTATTACTGAATATTAATTGTGTTTTAACTCAATGCTCTTCATCACATCTGACCAAGAGCTCAATTATTGCTCAAAGCATTTTGCAGGAGTGTTTTGTGACCGTGTGAATCCTCTTCACCTCTGCCAGTGTCTGTGCCGGAGCCGTCCGTCTCCTTCAGCTCCGAGTACGCACTTCTGTTTCTCCCGCCGTATCTTTCCCTCTGTTCACTATAGCGTTCCCTCCATTCCTGACAGACAGAGACGTGATGAACAGGGTTCAGACAGGCATCAGTGATTACACAAGTGCATCTATTCTCATCAATAGTTTTGAGGCAGTTTAGCCAGAAACAAACTCACTCTCCGTCTGCTCTCTCCGTCCTCTGTTCTCTGCCGTTTTCTTCTTTCTGAAAACAAGAGCAACTTTTAGAGCAACTGTAAGATGAACATGTGATGTAGCACCATTGAAATGTGGTAGGGCATGACTGAAGAGGTTTTTTAAATAGCTAGTAACCTTTCATTTACATCAAAACCTTAAAAGGTCATGCATAATATGTGACAGTAAAGTGTGCAGTAGTAGCTGTTTAAGTGTATATCTGCTCAAATTTAATTAATTTTTTGCCAATAATGTCAGTTAAGTAATAATAAACTTTTATTTATATATATATATATATATATATATATATATATATACACACACATGTGCAT